ACAAGAGTGAGCTTGATGCTGGTTATTGAAGACATTTTACTATGCACATGCTCCATTAGTCAAAAGACAAAACAACTTTAAATGCCATCGGAGGAAACCCTAACCTTTATGTAAAGATAAAAAGTGAAGATCAAAGCAAAAATGGCAACAGCTTCATTGTCATAGCTTCCAGCTACAGATCGGGATATATATGAGGGAACCTGCAAAGATACCCATTAAGTTAAAAAAACTGAACATTCTAAAGAATCACATCGATAGACTTTTGAGGCAAATTCCACTAGATGATGCACCAATACTGATTAGTGTACGTGACACCCAATAACCTATTAATCAAAGTCATAGCCATGATGTTCCAAGTATACCAATTGCAAAAAATTACCATGGCTAAAAGAGCAGCAGCTGCCAGTCCTGCACCGGAGCCCTTAACTTCCTGTTAGATTGCAAACTGATAAAGTTGGATTAATTGGTTCTCGAATTTAGTAGAGAAATCATCTAATAAAGACAAACCTTGGTCAAAAGGTAAGTTGCCCAGGATGCAAAAGCTGAAAATACAGGAGCGGTGAAGACACAGACAGTCTCTACTGACAGAGGAATGTTCAATGAATTCACGACCCTGTGGCAGATGGATAAAAATGTTAAAATTTAAAATTGACCCATAAGTGTGTCGAATACTTTCTGATTTCAGTGAAACAACACTTACCACCAGATAGTTCCGGCAGTCAACGTTAGCCCAGGGTAAACAGTTCCTCCAATCACACGGCCAAGAGGATACCTAAAATATAAAATAATCGAGGAAACAAGCTAAGTATATTGCTATTGAAGATAGCAAAGAAAATAAACCAATAGAAATTCTCAAATTACCAGGTTCGATCATCAAACCAATTCCAGAACTCGTATATTCCATTCTTCGATAAGAACTGACATAAAAAAAAACAGAATAAATAGGACAGCAGCCTGATAAATTAATAGAACTCACACACAAAGCTAAAATTAATATCATGGATATAAGAAAAGAGATGGAACCTGAGTGACTCTGTAATTGAAGTAAGGATCAAACTCATGAATCACACTTTCGTACTTTATGACCTGAAAATAAAACCAAAGAACGTTACTTCAAACACTGAAAAGTATAACACTGCAAATGAAATAATTTTAGCTTTGATCTTTGATCAAGCACTGAGCTAACACCGCAAAGCTAAACCATTTAATATTTCTAGTGGAATATGCGAACCATCATTCAAAAGGGTCTTCGCAGAAGAACAAATTTTTAAGGCACGGATATGAAATCCACATTTTCTGTCATCAAATAACCAAGCAACCCGAAAAAGCAACAACATTTGTTTTTGCTCCTTTAACACAAAGACAGTGAGGGAGAAAAGGAAGCTACACCGATCAGTCGAAAATGAATGAGATCGGATCCAGAATAGTCGGATCTAAAGTAGTTCGATTGGATCTAAGAGCTTAGCATATCGTAGGACAGTGGAATACATCAAACGAGCAGAGAGATGAGTGAGCTCACAGAGAACAGTCGGATCGAGAAAGCAAGGACACCAATGAGGACGAGGATCAGAACTGAGAGAACGCTGCCGAAAGCATTCCTCAGCGCAGACGGCGTTGCCAGATTTTGGCTCTCTGGAGCCGCCATTTTACACGGTGAAGCTGAGCTCTCCGGGTGGAAGAATCGGATTAAAAGAGACCGAAACAAAGGTCGCAGGGTTTTTCGAAGCTAAACTATCTCACGGGAATAACATGGTACGCCCGGCCAGTAACTAGTAAACGACCGGCGTAAGAATAGTTGCGCCTTCGTGGATTTAACACATGTCCACTTTTCATTCGCCACAAGTCATCTTAAGCTATCCGTCTTTTCTGCGTGATGTAAAAAAAAATAACAATCAAACCAAACCGGAGTTGACTTGGCAGACCGGTGAAAAATCCCGTCAACCATAGTGTGTTAAGTTAACTAGATTAGGCGTCCTCGGTTCAAATCGGTTTTGGAAAATGTCTGGAAGAACTGAGATATCTATCCAATCTTTCCATGGATATACTCATATACATATGGAAAGTTATGACTGATAGGCTTTTTTTCTTCAAGAATCGATTGAAATGGCATCAAAAGCTAGGAATGGTAGAGTTTTTTGCTGGAATTGTTCTGGTTCATGAACTTCACACAAGTATCGGAAGAATGGATTTTCTTGCACAGTAAAAATCCGTATTAGAAAGTGCTATGTCGACAAATCGTATAAATAGTAACCAAAAAGTAGTAAATCTGCAGCATTTTAACTTATCCATACTGAACGAACAATCACATGAAACTAAAAATAAGAATGACGGGGGCAAAACGCAAAGGGCAAAGATATAAATCAAAGTATTCAAGTCCCGGTTAGTTGAAACAAATACAACCTCAGACTCGGGATTCCCTTTTACAAACAAAGTACACGTACTGTTTCAGACCAAAAACAAGTTTTGATTTGCTTACAAGGGAACACGAGAATTTCAAAACGTTTTGATTTGCTCCTTTGCACTTCTTTATGATAAACAGCAGACACTTGTAGATTTCTGTGCTTTTACCTGATACCCTGGATTCGATGCCCATGCTCTGAAGTCTGAACCATGAGGAAGCAGACACTCACAAAACGAGCGCACAACGAATATCATATCCGACTTTAAGCAAATAAGTTAGAATCTATTTGCTCCACATTTGGGAAGATTTGTCTGACCACAGCAACATAATCGGAAGACTTGGCCTGAGAAGAGATACACAAACACAAATTTAATATAGTTGAACAAGATCTCGCTTAACAGATGTATAGCAAAATGACACCCCTCTCGCATCTTACGACCCATAGAAATTATTAATTTACAGAAAACATAGGGTCTCACCCAAATAAATGAATTGACAGATGCAGAAAACTACATGTCTACAGCCATTTTGTGAGACTCAACTTCTGTACCCTTAATGCATAAGGAGCCTTATAAACAAATACACAAGGTTTCTAATGCACTACCATATGTGTATCATTAAACTGACATGCCATTATCAAAAAGCAAAACCAAGATAAGGGAATCCCCAATAATGCAAGACAATAATTTGATGCAAGTGACGACAAGAACACGATTATGGTTAAACTTACACAAGGGTTATTTTCGAGGTAGATAGTGGTAAGCTTCTCTTTAGAGCCTGTAACAGATTCTGTGATTGCTTCAAGTGATTCTATCTGGTTGTCATTAAGCCATAAATCTTCCAGCCTACAGGTTAAAGTAAAAGTCAGGATGGAGAGAAAAAGAATCACCAAAAGACAAAAATCAGTTTGAAGCAAGGGAAAAGGTGAAGTACTTTGTGAGGCTCTGAATGTCATCGACTGATGTGAGCTTGTTGTTAGACACGTCCAATACCCGTAGGTTAACCAACGCACTCAAGCCTTCCATTTTTGAGATACCATTATGGCTCAAATATAACTCCTCAAGAGCAACACAGTCCTGGCCACATATATTTGTTCATGCATCAGAAGAATAAAATGCTGCCATGAGAAATGAGAATATCTACAGAAAAGTAAACAACACACACCTCAAAACCTTTCATAGAGGTCAACCGATTGCTCTGCAAGCTAATCTTTTTTATGCATTGAAGCCCACACAGGTTGACAACTTTGATACGGTTTCTTCCGAGCCATAGTTCATCTAGTTTTGTGAAGTTTTCCATGTTTTCCATTACCTGAAACCTCAAAGCGTTTCATATTCATTACTGAAGCACTAAAAGAGATTAGGAAACGCATTGAAGGAGGAGACAAACCCGCAGTCTATTAGACCCCAGTTCAAGAATCCGCAAGTCGTGCAAGTGTTCGATCTCAGCAATCTTGTTAACTTCATTTTTAGACACATAGAGTTCCTTCAGTGTGCTAGAGGCCTTTGATAATCCTTGCAACGAAGTGATTTCGTTGAAAGAGACGTCGAAAACCAAAAGCTTTGTGAATATGCTGATATCTGGAACATTGGCGAGCTTGTTATCTCTGAGAATTATCTCCTGCATAAGAGAAATAGTGGAATTTCAATCATGATGATCAATTCTAAGGCCTCTCAGACGACAAATGCCAATTCAATTATAGTGAAAAATCAAAAAATTAAGAATTGCAACAGGAAATTAGCTAAACAATTGGTTCCACGGCCAACAACAAATTCTTATGCTGATAAAAAAATAATATATTGAATTATTTCACCATTTACAAAGCACTCATAAGATTTCAAAAGATCAGAGAGTGGAGAATCACCTCGAGATCGGATAAGGCTTCCCAGCGAGACAAAGGCTCGATGGCGGAATCATCAATTAGGTTCTGGCGAAGAGAAAACTTCTTGAGCGCAGAGAGCTGAGCGATCCTCGGGTCCAATCCCGACAACCGGTTCGCCGTAAGGTCCAGCTCAGTCAGGGTTGGCGGCAACTCGACCGAATCGAGACTGTGGAGCTGACAGCTACTGAGATCGAGAATATTAGCTGAATCATCATCGATCTCCATCAATGGGTCTTCCTTCTCACTGTTCATGGCCTTTGGTTTTAAGCTCCGGACGACGACGAGCTTCGGTGAGAAGGAACTGGTCTAAGCGAATTTCTCTTTACACTCAAAACGCAACGTTTCAGATACAGATGTAAACTTTGTTACCCGTAGGGTTGTTCAAATGGGCCTAATGCCCATGTACCCCTTTGCACAAGTTGGCCCACGAACTGACTTTTTTTAATCAAGATTTGGTGAAGCCAAACTAGCTTTTAGATGTTGAGTGCAAATCAATGGAGACTCAAACATACATTTCTAAGTTTCTAACCATTTTGCCAATTCAAATTTCAAAAGTTGTGCAGAAATTTGAACTCAAAATTTTATTCAACTGAAAACCAGTATTATAAGTCAATATTTACAAAGGTAGAGCCAACTTTTTAGATATTCTTACTCACACAACAGACAACTACATTGGATCTAACTCTTCATCATAAGCAGAGCAGTCCATAGTGTATATCATCTACGCTTAGCTTGGAACACTCTGTTATACCAAATAGAATGCAAAACCATATGAAACAGATCGTATTTCTCCGGTTTAGCATGCCACAGAAAGTGCCTCTGCGCCTTTCTCACAGCCATTTGCATCTTCACGTATCTTTCTTCCGGTATCGACGACAAAATATCTTTCAACCTCGGGATGTCTTTCTCCGCAACGATGACCGAGAACGCGCTCCAGTCAAGAACCTCAAAGAAAGGCGGCACAAAGTTGTCTGATATAATCACAGGGACACACTCGTAGAATATCGACTCAACCACCCTCGGGCTGTTGACCTCGAAACCTTTAGGACAAATGCAGTACTTGCTGCTTTTCATCTGCTCTATGTAATTCATCTTGCTCGCCACGCCAAGTGGCATCCGTCCGAAGATCTTCATCTCCGGATCTTTGTCTTTCCAGTGCTGTAACAGAATCGGACGCAGGTAACCGTGCATGCTTCCGGCGTAGAAAGCCAGAGTCCGCCTCTGAAACGGCGGTTTCCCACCTAAATCACGAAGCGGGTTTTTAGCAGCTCGGACATATGTTTCAGGGAGCGAAACGTCTCTTCCAATCTTGAAGCCTGCTGTTATGTCTGCATTGCATAGAGCTTTAATGCAATGCTCCATGTGGTGCCTTGTCTCATACGGTGCCTGTTTAGTGAATACTGTTAACCCATTGGCGAAATGAATAGTTCAATTATTCAAGAACTGAAGAAGATGCATTACCCAATCATGACAGGCGACAAGAAAATGATCAGCTCCACCGGTTCTATTGAAGAAAGGGTACTTGGAACTGATGTGCTCGGTGTACTCCTTAAGAAACTGGCGTAGGTTAGTCCGGTTGTGAGAGTTACGCACGTAAAGCGTATATTCTAGCATCCGTGCACTAAATGGCATGTAGTACAAGTGAGCCCTTCTTGGGTCCTTCACAGTGTACTGCTTGTTTCCTTCCATCAACTTCATGAACCATCCTTCTGATGCATACAAGCCCTTGAGTATCGGAGTATGGAAAATGGGTCGGCTTCCTTCCTTGTATACATAAATCTTGAGTGTCCGTTCCATAAGGTCATAGCTCCTGCGGCATATAACTAATTTGGGTATGTCAAGATTACCTTTTAAACGAAAACACTACCAAACAGATCAAATTTGTGAACAAAACAGATCACATTATCTCAACTTATGACCATATGATACGGAATTTAACACTAGGAGTAGTACTAACATCTACATAGGACTAACGACACTAGGATAGGAATGTCAAGAGAAGTCTAAATTCTGCAATTTTACCTTTTAAACATGGTAAAATTACGAAATATTGGAGGGTAGAGTTCTCGTTCAACTGTTGCAACAGGAGCATTCTCTATCTCCTTTCTTGCAGCTAACATCTCCTCATCTCTCCTAGAAGACCAACGTGGTCGCTACATTGGAAGCAGAATGTTCTCAATTGCATAATCACTACACTTCCACAGGTAAAAGAGAAACTAAAAGGACAGCTGCACACATACCATTGCGCGTGAAGATCTGCGGTGCCTTGCTAAAATCTGATTCATCTCGTCGACTGTTGTCACAGTTTCTGGTGGGAGGTCACACCGCATCCGCTTCTTCTTCTTACTTACTTGCTTAGTAACAAGCAAGGAACTATTTCCCAAAACAGGAGCAGCTATGGAGGAGCCTGGACTTAACTTAGAGCTCTTCACCTTCTTCTGGATTTGCAGCGACACATTTTGCGTTACTGTTTTCTCTGATGGAAAAAGACTGTCATTTCCACTACTTCCAGCCACATCTTTGTTGATGACACTGTCCTTTGCATCTTCAAAGCTCTCCAAATCAACACCGTCATCAAACCCTTCATCATCCTCTGACTCATTCATAAAATCAGAACCTGAAACATACCCATTTTTCTCCAAGACATGAAGCCTCGAGCCTCCAGAAACGTTAACCGCAAGTGTATTTCTAAGAAGAGCGTTTTGTGGTGGAGTCATCAACGCATTGTTCTCACTGGGCAGTTTAAGTCTTCTGCCATCAGGCAACAGATATCTTCCGTATGAAAGAATCAACAAGATATGAGTAAGAGCCACAATCCCAACCAGAACAGCCCATTTCCGCTTTCCACTTCGGGAATGTTTTCGGTGCTCAGATCTAATCTCCATGAGAGAATTTCACACTAATTCAAACCAAGAAGACAGTCAAGTTCATGTATTTAACAACGAACTACCGAAACATTCAATAGTAAACTGAAACTGCGAGCGATTTGGTGAATCCAAATATATAGTAGTGAAAAAGTTGCTAAAAAGGGGTTTTAGGAAAGAATAAAATTCGAGAAACCCAGAATGAACAATACATGGAGATGATGGAGCTGAAGAGGCACAGACGGTAGAATCTTCTTCAAACAACTCCGATCCAAGTGAAGAAGTGGCTGTGTTTGGTCGTCTTCTCTGTTTGACGACATTTGACCGAAACAAAGTGAAGGGCTAATTGGCTAATAATTGAGGACTTTAGTGACTAAAGGAAAAATTAAGTTTGCCAAACCGAACCGAAATGTAAAAATACCAACCAGCCAACCGGTTCAAAAGTCACTCCACAACCACCAGCTCTCTGCCGTGTTCATCATTGAGCTGCGCCACTGACCAGAAAATCAAATACAAAAGGAGAGTGAAGCAATTTCCCCAGCTACGGGCATGTGCCTGTGCGAATCTTCCTATCAAACACTAATTCAACCATAGCCATGAAGCTGCTCGCAGGAGCTTCTTCGTCTGTTCATGGATCCTACCTCCTCGTCATTCTCCTCTCCGTTTTTCTCTTCTGGCTCCGTCCCCAGCAACAAAATCTCAATCCGGAGAACGTAACTCGTTCGGAGTCTGAGATTGAAACGCCGACCAACTACATAATCCGATTTAATCACTACAAGCCGGCGGAAAATCATCGAATTTACCTCGAATCCAAGGTCCGATCCGGTGGTTGGGGGTGGATCGAGAGGAACAACCCGGCGGCTAAATATCCGACTGACTTTGGTGTTCTATGGATCGAGGAAAGTGGGAAAGAGGCCGTGGTTGGAGAGATTGAGAGGCTAGAGATGGTGAAAGACGTGAACGTGGAGTTCAGGTATCAGAGAGTTTTGCTTGGAGGATCTTTCCCCGACGGGAAGAAACGTCCGGGAAAGATCTTTACTTCGATGTCTTTCGAAGAAGGAGCTGATCACTCTGCGATGGCGGCTACATGTAACACAACGTTGAATTGGAATCGGCATCTTCTCGGTCAGGTGAGAGATTGTCAAGTCACTAAACTTGTGACTAAGATAGTGTAGCGTAATGCAGACACAAAAGTTCTTCAGTAAGTGAGTTATTTTTCTAAGTTACAATTTTTGTACTCTGCAGAAGACTCAAGTGACGTCCATGTTTGGAGCAGATGTTCTCTGGAAGAAGGGTTACACTGGTGCTAAAGTCAAAATGGCAATATTTGATACCGGAATAAGATCTGACCACCCCCATTTCCGTAATATCAAGGTACCACTATCTGGAGAAAGAGATAAAAACAATCGTATGTCTCAAAGATTTCAGATAGCTGCTAGTTTGGTTAAGCTCTGAAGCTGGTATTGACCCAGTAACTTTCAGGAGCGTACAAATTGGACAAATGAGGACACTTTGAATGACAACCTGGGCCATGGCACATTTGTTGCTGGTGTTGTTGCTGGTCACAATTCAGAATGTCTTGGTTTTGCCTCAGACACGGAGCTCTATGCTTTCCGAGTGTTCACAGATGCCCAGGTAATGCATGATCACGCAACAGATACGTCTTCTTATGTAGCAAGGGGTTTAACGTTAATGAACTCACTCATTCATAATCCAACCTGTGACAATTGTTAAAATACTGATATTGGTTATATAGACCTATACATTGGTATTTATTTTGTCCTCAAGACAGTATAATTGACGACTATACATTCGTTTGTCTTCCTTTTCTCTTTGGCCCCTCTTTACCACTTACTCCTTCCATACATGTGTTCCCGGATATGCAAGTTACCTTAATCAAATAGATTATGAGAAGTTTGCGCTCAGCTTGTTGCAGGTATCATACACATCATGGTTCCTTGATGCTTTCAACTATGCCATAGCAACCGATATGGATGTATTGAATTTGAGCATTGGGGGTCCGGATTACCTGGATCTGCCTTTTGTAGAGAAGGTAATGTTTCCTTAATCTCTTGCTTGAAGTTTGTATTATCATGTCGAGTCAAGTGGTGGATTGTTTCTTTCTAGAATATATGAACAGTAGTGTGTTTCAGAGGCGCTGATTATCTTCGAACAGGTGTGGGAAATAACAGCCAGTAATATCATTATGGTGTCTGCGATTGGAAATGACGGGCCACTCTACGGAACGTTGAATAATCCAGCTGACCAGAGTGATGTCATAGGTGTTGGTGGTATTGACTATGATGATCACATAGCTTCATTTTCATCTCGTGGCATGAGCACCTGGGAGATTCCTCATGGGTACTGTATTTCGTGTTTTACAAACCCTGCAATCAAAGTGATACAAAAAGCTTGTTTTCACGCAAATCCCAACTAATTTTTCTTTTTGCTTACAGATATGGCCGTGTCAAACCAGATGTGGTTGCATATGGGCGTGACATTATGGGATCCAAGATCAGCACTGGTTGTAAAAGCTTGTCTGGCACAAGTGTTGCTAGTCCTGTTGTTGCTGGTATTGTTTGCCTGCTTGTAAGTGTTATTCCTGAAGCTAGAAGGAAGGATCTGCTCAATCCAGCAAGCATGAAGCAGGCTTTGGTCGAAGGTGCTGCTAAGCTTTCAGGTCCTAATATGTATGAGCAGGGTGCAGGAAGAGTTGATCTGTAAGTTATCTTACCCTTATCGGTAATCACCATTGGATTCTTTCTTTTCGATCCTATTTCTTTAATCTTTTCAGTCTCTAATTTTTCGACTCTTTGTCAGATTAGAATCATATGAAATTCTAAAGAGCTACCACCCCCGAGCAAGCATTTTCCCGAGCGTTCTTGATTACAATGATTGTCCATATTCCTGGCCCTTTTGTCGTCAGTCATTGTATGCGGGTGCTATGCCTGTCATTTTCAACACGACAATTCTGAACGGTATGGGTGTCATTGGCTATATTGAAAGTCCACCGACATGGCACCCTGCAAACGAGGAAGGAAATCTTCTGAGCATTCACTTTAAGTACCCAGATGTCATATGGCCATGGACTGGTTATCTAGCTTTACACATGCAGATCAAGGAAGAAGGTGCACAGTTCACTGGTGAAATAGAGGGCAACGTAACTGTGATAGTCTATAGCCCGGCAGCACCTGGAGAAAGTGGGCCTAGAAGAAGTACTTGTTCTCTTCAGTTGAAACTGAAAGTGATTCCAACCCCACCACGAGCGAAACGTGTACTGTGGGATCAGTTTCACAGCATTAAATACCCTCCAGGTTATATTCCAAGAGACTCTTTGGATGTCCGCAATGACATTCTTGATTGGCATGGTGATCATCTGCATACGAACTTTCACATCATGTACAACATGTTACGTGACGCTGGTTACTTTATCGAGACTCTTGGTTCTCCCCTTACGTGTTTCGATGCTCAGCAATATGGAACTCTTCTGATGGTTGACCTTGAAGATGAATACTTTCCGGAAGAAATCGAAAAACTCAGAGATGACGTTATCAATACAGGACTGGGTCTGGTTGTGTTTGCTGAGTGGTATAATGTCGATACCATGGTGAAAATGAGATTCTTCGATGACAACACACGCAGTTGGTGGACTCCGGTCACTGGAGGTGCAAATATTCCAGCACTTAATAACCTTCTTGCATCATTTGGGATTGCCTTTGGTGACAAAATTCTGAACGGGGATTTCAGTATTGATGGAGAGCAGAGTCGATACGCTTCTGGAACAAACATAGCCAGGTTTCCAGCTGGTGGGTATTTGCACAGTTTTCCTCTACTGGACAGCTCTGAGAGTGGTGCTACACAGAATCTACTGCTAACTGGTTCAGCAAAGGTATAACACTGCCTTGCATTTTCTTTTATTGAATTCCAGAGAATTTGTTTTTGATAATGCGGTTCTGTTTACAGGAAGACCCTTCTGTTCTTGGACTTCTGGATATCGGTGAAGGTCGAGTTGGTGTTTATGGAGACTCGAATTGCCTGGACAGTAGCCACATGGTCACAAACTGCTATTGGCTACTGAAGAAAATGCTAGATTATACCAGTTCAAATATCAAAGACCGTGTACTCTTCTCAAAATTCTCAAAGAGATATTCACCGTTAATCACAGACGAGAAGCAACTGCCGTCTCGAAGAACTGATGTAAATTTCTCAACATACTCTTCCGTGATCGGAAAGGAGCTAATCTGTGAGAGTGACTCAAGATTTGAAGTGTGGGGGACCAAAGGATATGATCTACATGTCAGAGGAAGGAACCGTAGATTGCCCGGATATCGTGGCATTGATTTGGGCCGGGGCTTGAATTCCACGGTGGAGACTACAAGACCAACTCGTTGGAGACCAGCCAAGGAAGGTAGCGAGCTTGGTTCTTCAAGGAGCAAGTATCTAGGAGGCCTTTTCAACAGAGACGAGGTAATATAATTCATGTTATCTACTAAGTTTTTTAAATTCATTTTGGAGGGACCATAAAGTTTATATTATCTTGCTCTCAATTTTGCAGATTGACATGCCATTTCTTGTTGCTACTCGATGGATCGTACCTGCTGGTGTTGCAGCTAGTGGTAATATACTCAACCTTTCCTATATTAAAGATGTTCAAGTCTGGTTAAACCTTTTACTGCAGTAATATCAAACTTCTCCGGTTTGTGTTGTAGGAGTTCTAGTGTTGATAGGCATTTGGAGAATCCGGCAGAAGAGGCGTAGGCGGAGAAGAGCGTCTGGGTCTAATCGATTAGCCTAAGCATATAGCCGTGTCGATTTTGCCTGCGTAGAGCCAGACACCCATTTAATTCTTTTTAGCTTTTTTACTGTCATTTACTGACCACAGAATGTAGTTTCACTTTAACGTTTCTTCACCTGGCAATTTTGTTTTAGGAAATCAATTTTTAAAAACTTTACTTTCAAAAAGCAATATATCTATCCAGAAATTATAATTCAAGATTCTATCGTGCATGATATGAAATGCATAACCAAAATTAGCACCGAAAAAACGTATTTTAGGATTGTGGCAGATAAGTGGTGCAATTTATCGCATATGTTTAGAAAACAAAAAAAGTTTTGTATTTTGGGAAATACAAGTCATAAAATTGAAATTCAGTGGAATGCATCGTACGTACTTAGACCTATTATTCTACAGAAGTTCCATTACTAAACCTTAAAGTTGATTGAAAAACTTTATTTATTTTAAATGCATCCTTACGTACCCAAGAATAGAGAGAATTTTGAAATTCAAATAGTTGCCAGGAACCAGGGTTAACCTCAAATAGGACGAGGCTGCTGAAATGGTCCCCCACCGATCAGGCCACTACTCCCAAACCTTACTTTTACGTAAAAAGGGCAATTAGATTAGCCAATACGCATTCACTTCCATCTTTTTTGTAGAAACAGAATTCCTTGTCTTTAAATTGCATTTAGAATGTCAGCTTTATCATCTGAAACTACACCATCAAAAATATTTCCCCTTTTATTTTGTTTTCTTCGACATAAAGCATATACAAACAAAATAATTTACCAAGATAATCTTTCGAAACTATTGGTTTAAGAGTTCGTTTTTAACGAAATGTTAAGACTTAGTATAGTTACTTAGACATTTATTGTTTGTTTCTAAGAATATATCAAGTTTATATATGTCACATATATTATTGACATAGATATTAAGAAGTGCCGCCAAGAAATGTGCACCGGAATAGAGACGCATTTTATCGTCTTCACATGTACATCTGTTTCTTCTGTAATGATCATGTTTTCATGTTAACGCTAAGTGCACAACAGTCTAAATATTCGAAGTCATGACGAATGGATGGAATGTTTTCCTTTCCAACAAACTATTGAGGTTGAATTAAATACTAGTAGCAATTTAATGTTTCTCTTTTCTTTTCGTTCTTTAATTCTTTGTGTGAAAAAAAGTCAATGTTATCTTACTAATAAATTGACTTTCAGTGATCGTCGTGCACTACCTTTCTGTATAGCCTTCATTTTCAATCATTTAATTCGAATTACGTTGCCTTTTTGAATAAAACGATCACACTCATGATTCAATAACCGATGCACGAATTCCGGGGAGAAATTAGGAATGTTAAATTAAATTATTAGGAACTATAAAGCATAGACTCGTTGAAAAAAATCGTTAAATACACGAACTGGTTAATATATTGTCTTTCACTAAAAGAAAACTATAAAAACAAATAAAAAAACAAAATAATAATAAAATAAAAAAAATTCAAGATACAAATGAACAGTACAGAGAAGAGAAAACAACTCTCCTTTTTACATATCACAAAAAAAAATTCAAAAAGCTGAAGAGAACTGACTTTTGCTAGATGACAAGCGTTACAAAACATAGTTGATGTCACACGAAATTCAAAATGAAAACATTTTAAAACTAGTGGAAAAAAACGAGCAAAGAAAGGTCAAGCGTCTCTATAGGGGTAAAATAAAAACAGAAAGAAAAGAGCAAACAGGAAATTCCAATGGTATATTTTTTGTGTCAGCTATTCGAATGGTTTTAGTTAAAGACGACAAAGAAAGGACAAAAGACATTGCAGAAAGAGAGTAAACGTAAAAAGTTGTAATCATTAAATTATCATTAATATTACGAAATACGCAAACCAGAACAAGAAAGAAAAAATGAAAAGAGAATTTATCTCTCCTTCCCTCAAAAGTCTTGTATGACACACTCCTTTATTACATCTTCATTAGTCCCTTTCCTTCTCTTTACCTCTCTCTCTCCCTCTCTGCATCGATATTCTCTAACATGGAGAAAAGAATGAGGCTCCGAGTTCCTAGGATAATCCGGTCATCTCTCAGCGCTTGCCGGCCACGAGATCTATTCGACGTCGTCGAGACTTGCGCTGTAACAAGTAACACGACTTCTTCCGAGAGATTCTTCACAACCGAAGTCAAAACCAAAACTCCTCCAAGCAGAAGCAGTCACAGACCAAAGTCTTATGGTTTCTCTGCTTCACCCATATTCCCTCCAAACCCTTTCTACGAAGAAAGCCAAAAAGACAAAAAGATCAAGACAAAAAGGAAGCAGAGATCATCACAGTTTGGTTCCGATTCTCTCGTTGCCTCACGTTTTAAGTCAAGTGGGTCTTGGTGCTGGTCTTGTAGCGAAGAAGAAAGCGACGACACGGATACACTCTTTTCTTCAAGAAGCTTCTCCTCGGACTCTTCCAAGGCGGAGAGCTTTGCGGTGGTGAAGAAGTCGGAGGATCCGTACGAGGATTTCAGGACGTCAATGGTGGAGATGATTGTCGAGAGACAGATATTTGCAGTGGCTGATCTACAACAGCTTCTTCAGTGTTTTCTATCGTTAAACTCTCGTCAACACCACGGGGTTATTGTCCAAGTGTTCCTAGAAATTTATGCCACTTTGTTCTCTCCCTAATTTTAATTTAATTCGTCTCTCTACCTTTTTAACATCTTTTACTAAAGTTACGTACTATGCTCAATATTATTAATCTTGCTCTAGTGCTTGGTTCCTATTTTCGACTAGATTTGCTTCTCCCTTTAAGCTATGTTTTAGCCTTAGATCTCTGTATTTTTGTTTTTTGTTGTTGTAATGTAATACTTTATCAAACAACAACAACAAAAAACTTTTTACAATCTATGTTCAAGTTTTTCAATCATTTTAGACGCCGAAAGAGAATTGGGTTTAAAAGAACATTCCAACAAAACAGTTTCTTGATCTTTGTCCACAAAAAAATGAAAAACTCGGACTGAACTGTCCAACGTACATAAACACCTCACTAGCTCCCACAAGCACGTACTGTGGTACTGTATTTGCCACAAAATGGAGAGCTCACTCTCCTTTTGACCAGGCACTTCCGAGCAGTGGCCAAGCCACACTGAATTTGAATTTTGAAATAAATAATTAAAAAATGACAAGTTTACAGTTGTAATTGCAAATACCAAAAACAGTAGTAATGTATACTTATGTAAAAACAAAATAGTATAAATGCTTTGTGTATATTGGAGGGGTTTGAGGAGACATTGGATGATGAAATAGCAAAATAAAAGCTGTAGAAAGTAGATCGAAAAGCAGACATTGGAGGGGTTTGAGGAGACATTGGATGATGAAATGGAACATATTCCAGATGTGGCTTTAGGAACACGTTATGTATTTTCCGATGATTTCTGATGTATTGGTTTAAACTTTTTTAATGATTAGGCAAATCGATTTGCATGCACTAGTTGTTGATCCTCCTCCAAAGTTTGATTTGCCTGTCAATATCTTGTTCAAAGTTAATGCATTGGTGCAGAACAAGTGTAAAACGATTTTACACGATTTTAAGCTGACGAACACCAGATCCACCTAGCCTAGATGACCTCCATGAGTGTTCATACAACCATTATTACATGTCATGGTCCAACCACCAACTCGATCTGCAGCTATATAGTTGGTTATTGGCTATATTTTTTTATGCCTGTCCTTTTCTCTCACAATCTATTATTCAATCCATCTTTTTTTGAAAGAGTTTACTGTAGCAATTTGTAAATTGTGATCTTGTAAAGAAAATCAAACTTTCTTTTATTTGTTAAATGTTGTAGACTTGCAGTTTCTTTTGTCTTTTGATTTTGCCTATTCTACATTCTGTGTGGGATTTGCTAAATATAAAGTATTAGTGCTAACCTTTAGGAGATTCTTCAACAAATATCTTTTATTCATTATGCTCTGTTTTCACTATCCCTAACGAGGACTAAAATTATAGAAACTAACAATAATTGAAAAGTTTGAAGGTGATATAGCACCGCTTCGTGACCAGAGTCCCTCGAGGACAAATGTGTCTAGCGCCTTTTCTTCTCGTTTGCAAGAGGTTTGCTTCTCGTCCTTTTGCATCTTCTTTGTTATCATCTTTCTTTGTCAATTTCTAGACAGTGAACAGTTTTTTTCTTTCTTTGTTTATCAGATTGTTGAACATCATCGAACGCATACTTCTGCACCCATGGTAGACTATGAAGCACCCTCCATGGAGGAATCATTAGTTGAGTTCACCGGAGAGGTAAGCTTACCTCTGTTTTATGATGATTGAGAACATATCTTTCACACTAGTATAATCCCCTTTCATCTATGTTTTTGTTAAATCATCTTGTCTGCTGCGCAGGATTGCTTTGGTCGGTACTTGGTCGTGCAGGATATATGTTGCGACAATCAGCTGGAACGCCCAATGGGTTGGGATGGGAAGCCTATACCATACTGGCTCGACAAACTTGGCCTTGGCCAGGTAATGTGGTTCTTATCATACCAACCATATGATATTGATGTTATTAAGGAAGAGAGAAAGTCTGTTGTTACAACTTTTTTTTGCTGTTGTTGTTTGTGTGTTTGTAGGAGTACAGATGCGAGATATGCAGCAACCGTAGCTATGCGGGGAAGAAGGCTTTTGAGAGACATTTTAAAGAATGGCGCCACCAACAAGGATTGCTGCTGAATGGAGCATCGATTGAGGTATGTTGGCTCAAGGTCTTGTTTTGCTGAATTTAAGCAAATAGGTGTGTAAAGTGTAAGAATTGAGATTGTTTGTCTCAGGAAGCAAGAGCAGGGTGCATGGGGTTGCCAACACAGATGCGCAACCCCTGGCCACTCGGGGTTGATGGGAAAGTCAGACCACCACTTGATCTTTCGCAAATAACGGATCAGGGAACCGAAGGAAACGATTCAGTTCAAGCTCCGGCGATTCTAGATGCTTACCTAGCTGATGCGGAGAGAATGGTACATAATCACCTAAGTGGTGCCACTGATGGTTCGCTATGGCTCCCTCCGGCTGGGTACAGGGATGCTTCGCTGCTTCAAGAACCTCTCAAGTTTACATGTAGAGTCCCTCAAGGGATCACGGGCAAGGAGCTTGATATTATTGAGCTCGCAGCCCAGTTTTGGGCGCTGAATGGTGGGCGTCTCTGGGAGGGCTGTAAGGAGAGAAGTAATACGGATCCTCAGTTTGAGTTTATGAAGCCAACTGGTGGCAGCAGGTCCACTCTCTTCCGTGAACTTGCTTCAGCATATTTCGAAGTAGTAAATCGTCCTGAAATCTTGAAAGAAACGCTGAAGGAGGATGCTGCTGATATGGAGACTGTTCTTGAGAATTGTTTCTATCGTCTTCAGTTGGATCGATTCCTGGAGGAGGAGGAGGATAAGGCAAGGGAGGAGCAGGACAAGGATAAGGCAAGGGAGGAGGAGCAGGACAAGGATAAGGCAAGGGAGGAGGACAAGGAGAAGGAGAAGGCAAAGGTATGTAATGTTTTTCTTCCACAAGAGCCTCATATATAGTATATATATACTGTCTGTCGTTTCTCCTCTCTCTCTCTCTCGTTTTCTTTCATCTGACTTGTAGTATTTGTAATACATTATCAGGGTTGTGTTACAGTCTGCGTTTATGCTCCAGACTGCGCATCCAGGTTTTATCAAGATTATTTCGATTTCGATATGGTTTCCTTGTCCGAAACCGTGGCAAGTTTGAAGGAGAAGATAGCCCAAAAGGTTAGGATTCCAGCAACCCATCAGATTCTATGTGGAAAATTCGGTATTTTGGAGGACAACAACAAGTCACTTGCACACTACAATGTGGGTCACTTAAACATTCTGGACCTGTCCTTCAAGGGTTTTAACTTTTAATATTAAGAATGTATCAGACTGCTTATGTAACTCTCAGACTGCTTATGTAACTTAAAGACTTATCAGTTTCAAGTTATTCTCAAATTACACATTTTGTTTCTTTCATCAAAAAGTTTTGTCCAATCGCAATTGTCTCAATATGGATGGATAAAATCTCAAACTCGAATCTTGGTGTTCATATCTCATGTTAAACATCTTTATTAGTTTACCTTCTACAACTCAAACCGATACCTGGCAAATTTTGATTCTCCGGATTCGGGCCACAGTGTTGAGAGCCACGCCGTTTGGTAAACACCAATACCAAGGCGTTGGAGTTGGATGATGACTAGATTTCCACATCTCTTCCATGGATGATTGGTGCGGATGACTTTGGTACTCTTTATTTTATACACCTTTTACATTTAATCGAATTTTATACAAACAGTTCTAATGTTTTCTTCTCTTTTCGAAATTTGTATATCCCACTTTTATTTATAAAAGCCCATAAGTAACTGGCCTTCTATTCGTAACCATCTTACCAAGTTCGCCATGCAAGTAACAGTAGCACAAACCATCTTACCAAGAAAACTTCTATGCACAAACCATACTATTTATTCTTGTATATGAATTTCTGTCCAAGTCCCTTCTCGAAATCAACTGTAATCGGAGGCAAAGTATCTTCCTTTGTTCCAAAAAGATGGTATTCTCTGCCTTAAGTCACTCATTTTACTCCATAAGTTGGTAAACCCTAAACCCTAAAGTTTGTTATGCGTCTTCTTTTGACCCACCAAATAACCATCGTCTGCTCTCACATCTAAACCGAAAATCCAATTAACCCCGAACAACAAGATCCAGTCAAGCACTACTCTGCTGTCTGAGACGGTGGTGGACCCACCTGAGTGCTCGGTGCCGCCTGAGTATGAGTTCTCCTCCATTTCATGTACTCGCTAATAGCCGTTGTGCCGGACATTACGAGTCCAAATCCGATCATAGTGGATAAGACAATGCACATAACCGGCTGCTTAACCTGCACACAAGTAACAAGTTTGAGAGAAATCAGGAACCAGAGGACCTTCAACAAAATCAGACAAAAAAAAAAGTCTCTGAGACATAGACGTCAAATCTTACAACTGGATAGAAAAGATGAGCGAAGAGGGCCACAAAACCGAACACCCTAAGATGGTAAACCAACACCTTCCACACCTGAAGCCACACCTTCCACACCTTCCTCAATGTGAATACTTTGATTTCAAAATGATACACAACTTACATTCTCACAATTGTCCGTTCTTGATATAGCGGCAGTTGAGAAGAGCTCTATCTTTTCCTTAAACATACAGAAATGGTTTTAATGCTTGGCCCAATTAGACATTTTCACATTTGGGTCGAGCTCTAAAACCCAATTGGCGTCCAAGTTTGGGTAAATCTCCAAAATTGAATTGTCCCTAATTTCTTATTTAGTGTGTAAATGCCAGTGTTTTTAAAACCGGACCGGACCGACCATTTTTAAATTCAATGTAAAGAAACATAAGAAAGCCACATTCATCAAACTTACCATCTAGTTGAACTAGTAGAGTAAATAACATATCTCTAATACATAATTGAATTATTTGATATACATGGAATCTCTGTGCTTCCTTACATAAGCGAAACTCCACCAATCGATGCTATGAATCTCTGTGCTTCCTTGCGTTGAACCAGAGAATCCGACGAACATGGAATCGCTAACGTAGCGATCGAGATCGAGAGGAACCGACAAAACCGGCGATTTGGGTTTCACGTTTGAGTAGGATACGTAAACGGTTAAAATCCGACCCGACCCGTCATAAGTAATCCACGAGTTCACAGCGTTTCCGCTCTTGAGATCGATATCGACGTTTCCTAGATCGGACACTGCGGCTGAAACGACCGCGTTTAGATCCAATCCCACGTGGTTACCGTTTACATCCTTGAATTGCACATCCATCAGCGTGTCGAATTCAACCGCCACAAAACCCGACCCGGATCCGGATTCTCCGGTGAGACCGAGAAATCCGCCGGCGGATCCGATGTATTCTCCATCGGGGGCGATTACGAAAGCGAATCCACCTCCGATTGAGGTTGGATTGAGATTGGTTACTGAGAAAGAGAAGTAAGTCGAGAAACTAGCCGGAGATTGAGTTTCCGGGTGTCGGAATTTAACCGGTTTTCCGTACAAAGCTTTTCCGGCGGTTGAAGTGGGAACAGAGAGTTCGCGAGTGAGCTTTATGGTGTTGTTGTTGAGGTGTGCGTCGCCGAGAAGCTTGAGGCTTGAGAGAGTCAACGTTCCGAGATCGAATCTAGTCGCCGGAAAGTCGCCTCTGACGTCGGAGGAGCAGAGGAAAGAAGCAAGAATGTGGAAGAGAGTTGAGTAAACGGGAAGGAATCTCGGCGGAATGTTCAACATTAGTATATATTTTTCATTGGATTCCTTCCCAGTCTGAGGAAGTGAAGATTTGGGGTTGTTGGATTCACTGATACAATCATACAGAGAAGACGAAGACAAGTTACTGAATCAGACAGAAGAAGACGGAAGACGACAGAAGAGAGTGGAGATAAAAGGCACAAGTGAACAAGACAGGTGGATCTGGCTGATCGACACGTGGCACTGGTAACAGCTGATCCTTTTTTGTACTGATTAAAGAAAAAAAAAAGTTCCAGCGATGGAGAAGTTTCTCAGTTCCTCACGTGCAAGCGCGTGCCTGCTTTTTCTTGTTTCGTTCAAAGTAGTGTTGTAGTAATGGAGTACTAATGTTATGATCAAAGTACTTATTTTTTGTTTAATTTGACGAAACACTTATTTCATCACAATCATATACATTTGTTGATTTCGATTGTTTGCAAGTAACTACCGAATTTGTTGAAGGTTCATCGAAAGTTGATGGATCCGAGTGATTCGAGTGGAGGACTTGACGTTAATTTTAGCTGAGACTTATTATAAAGGTTGACATGCATAACCGCATAAGCTTAACTTATTATTTTAAGCATATGACATATCGAAAACCCTCCATTACCTAAAAAATGATAAAAGGTTATTAATTGGCTTCAACTGTTTAGGCCCGATTATGGCATAGTCATGGGCCGGAAGCTGATAAATGTCGGTGAGCCCAATTTATATAAATTCTAGGTCGGTGAACCCAATTTATAATCCGGGGAATCCGAGATTTTGCTCATAAATTCTAGGGTTTCGTTTTTTTTCCCATCTGTTTCTTCGTTTTCTCTCGGATTGTTCTCGACGACGCGGCTGCTCCTTAGAGGCTGAGGTACGGTGTGTTTGCTAATTAGCTTATCTCTCTCGGAAACCCTAAGTATAGCGCCGCTGATTCCTTTTCCTGTTTCTGTTCCTGTTCCTTTCCCTATCAATCTCTTTCTCTCGCATCTAGGTTATTTGCGTCTCTGGAAAATTTCACGGGTTGATTTTAGTACCGATTTGAGCTCAGTCGAAGTTTCCGTTTCTCCATCAGAATCTGATACTAATTTTTTTTTTTCTTTCTGCTGTGTAGAATCAATGTCCGGTTCAACATCACTCGGGGCTCCTCCTGCCTCTCCGGTGGAAATCGGAATTATGGTGGAGAAAATTCGATCCTGTCACGGGGAAATTGAAAGCCTGGAGCAATTGGTTATGGATCTTCTAAAGGCAGAAGATATGCCTCCGGTGTTGCAAGGCCACCGTCTCCGAATCATGGCGAAGTCTATCATGCTGAAGTCTAAGAAACTTGTACGTTTTTCTTCTTTTCCTCGAATTTTTTTTTTACAGGACCCTAGTTTTTGGTGGAATTATGGTAGATGCTCCTACTTACTAACCTTTGATTCTTGTTGGCTGTAAGGTTGAGACCTATGAAAAGTTTGAAGGTGATATAGCACCGCTTCGTGACCAGAGTCCCTCGAGGACAAATGTGTCTAGCGCCTTTTCTTCTCGTTTGCAAGAGGTTTGCTTCTCGCCCTTTTGCATCTTCTTTGTTATCATCTTTCTTTGTCAATTTCTAGACAGTGAACAGTTTTTTTCTTTCTTTGTTTATCAGATTGTTGAACATCATCGAACGCATACTTCTGCACCCATGGTAGACTATGAAGCACCCTCCATGGAGGAATCATTAGTTGAGTTCACCGGAGAGGTAAGCTTACCTCTGTTTTATGATGATTGAGAACATATCTTTCACACTAGTATAATCCCCTTTCATCTATGTTTTTGTTAAATCATCTTGTCTGCTGCGCAGGATTGCTTTGGTCGGTACTTGGTCGTGCAGGATATATGTTGCGACAATCAGCTGGAACGCCCAATGGGTTGGGATGGGAAGCCTATACCATACTGGCTCGACAAACTTGGCCTTGGCCAGGTAATGTGGTTCTTATCATACCAACCATATGATATTGATGTTATTAAGGAAGAGAGAAAGTCTGTTGTTACAACTTTTTTTTGCTGTTGTTGTTTGTGTGTTTGTAGGAGTACAGATGCGAGATATGCAGCAACCGTAGCTATGCGGGGAAGAAGGCTTTTGAGAGACATTTTAAAGAATGGCGCCACCAACAAGGATTGCTGCTGAATGGAGCATCGATTGAGGTATGTTGGCTCAAGGTCTTGTTTTGCTGAATTTAAGCAAATAGGTGTGTAAAGTGTAAGAATTGAGATTGTTTGTCTCAGGAAGCAAGAGCAGGGTGCATGGGGTTGCCAACACAGATGCGCAACCCCTGGCCACTCGGGGTTGATGGGAAAGTCAGACCACCACTTGATCTTTCGCAAATAACGGATCAGGGAACCGAAGGAAACGATTCAGTTCAAGCTCCGGCGATTCTAGATGCTTACCTAGCTGATGCGGAGAGAATGGTACATAATCACCTAAGTGGTGCCACTGATGGTTCGCTATGGCTCCCTCCGGCTGGGTACAGGGATGCTTCGCTGCTTCAAGAACCTCTCAAGTTTACATGTAGAGTCCCTCAAGGGATCACGGGCAAGGAGCTTGATATTATTGAGCTCGCAGCCCAGTTTTGGGCGCTGAATGGTGGGCGTCTCTGGGAGGGCTGTAAGGAGAGAAGTAATACGGATCCTCAGTTTGAGTTTATGAAGCCAACTGGTGGCAGCAGGTCCACTCTCTTCCGTGAACTTGCTTCAGCATATTTCGAAGTAGTAAATCGTCCTGAAATCTTGAAAGAAACGCTGAAGGAGGATGCTGCTGATATGGAGACTGTTCTTGAGAATTGTTTCTATCGTCTTCAGTTGGATCGATTCCTGGAGGAGGAGGAGGATAAGGCAAGGGAGGAGCAGGACAAGGATAAGGCAAGGGAGGAGGAGCAGGACAAGGATAAGGCAAGGGAGGAGGACAAGGAGAAGGAGAAGGCAAAGGTATGTAATGTTTTTCTTCCACAAGAGCCTCATATATAGTATATATATACTGTCTGTCGTTTCTCCTCTCTCTCTCTCTCGTTTTCTTTCATCTGACTTGTAGTATTTGTAATACATTATCAGGGTTGTGTTACAGTCTGCGTTTATGCTCCAGACTGCGCATCCAGGTTTTATCAAGATTATTTCGATTTCGATATGGTTTCCTTGTCCGAAACCGTGGCAAGTTTGAAGGAGAAGATAGCCCAAAAGGTTAGGATTCCAGCAACCCATCAGATTCTATGTGGAAAATTCGGTATTTTGGAGGACAACAACAAGTCACTTGCACACTACAATGTGGGTCACTTAAACATTCTGGACCTGTCCTTCAAGGGTTTTAACTTTTAAAAAATGACTTACGGCTAAAAGCTCTAAAAATCAAACTTGATCTAACTCGGAGATAGCCCTCCGATTCACACCACTTCCCTTGATGCTATCTTCATCATGGCTTATTGGTTGGTACCACTTTGCAAAGACCAAATAAAACACGAAATCGATGGCAGCCAAAACAGCAATCAGAAAATAAAACCGATCCATATGACCTTCGTTGAGATATTCCGGTATCCACCCGTGGCTCTTGCCTCTCTTGGTTATGACCATAACAATATTCACCATCAAACTGCTCACGTAGTTACCTAACGCCATCGAAGCCATGCACAACGAGCTTCCTAAGTTCTTTAAACCATCCGGTGCCTGTCCGTTGAAGAACTCTAACTGTCCAACGTACATAAACACCTCACTCGCTCCCACAAGCACGTACTGTGGTATTTGCCACAAAATGGAGAGCTCACTCTCCTTTTGACCCGGGACTACTCGTCTCAGCCGTTGGATCTCTGTTAATCCTGCGGCTACCTTTGCCATTATCCCTATGATTAGACCTATTCCCATCCGCATTAGTTCCGTGGGTCTCACGTAAGGGAATATGACGTGGCGGTAGATTCCGGTTGATATTAATACGCTGCATATATCAAAGACCGACATGCTCGCGGCCGGGACGTGGAATTTTCGGATGTGTGCATCCATCACATCGCCTTGCTCCACGAACAATGAAGCCATTTGTGTGAAGATCACTGAGTAGATTATAGTGCATAGCCATATTGGGAGCAGCTTCATCACACATTTTGCTTCTTCTACTTGCGTTACACTGCACAACCTCCACCCATTGATCCTTGTCCCGTTCCTATATTACATGCATGGATCAAGCAAAATTCATAAGTTAAAACATGACAACCTTATGAATAATGTGTGGTTAGGTTTAGTTTATTACCTGTCATGCTCTGTAATCACCGCGGCTCTATCCAAGAATGAAAATTTGTTACTGTGAAATATCTTTCTACTTCCTTTAATGGCGGATTCGGGACCTTCGACTTCGTACAACTCCCTGTGGTTTTCCGGTCGAACAACACTCCACTTCCGAGCAGTGGCCACGAACACCTGCGCCACACGTGGCAACGGGTTCCCACATGGTTTGACGTAACGATAACGTCTTGTCGGGGCAAGAAACGCACACAATGCGATGATCGCAGAGCCTAGCGACACTAAGAAGCCTTCAGTCCACAAACCATTATCCTCGAAATAAACAAGGATCGTGTTCGAGAAGAGAGATCCGACGTTGAGTGCAAAGTAGAAGTAGCTGAAAAACGCAGCTTTGGAGTTTTTATCGTTTTCCCCAAACTGATCTGCACCGAAAGTAGCCAGCGTTGGCTGGTGACCTCCGTATCCAAAGGCTACAAGATAAACCGACAAGTAAAAGATACCAACGCCGAGGGAAGAAGTAGGGTTGCAGATAAGGTCTCCATCGCCACAACCTCTAGGTTTGATCAAGAAAAACCATGAAGTGAAAGAGAGGAGGCCCACACCGAGGACGAAGATGACTTGGAAGATCGTGCATGTCAAGTAACGACCCCAATAAGAGTCACTAAGAAATGCACCAACAAGTGAAAACATGTAAACTGTTCCTGTCCACTTGCTTACGTTGTTGGCAGCCTCTGCATTGCCTTGTCCTAGAACACGCGTTAGGAACAGCACCAAGTTCACTCCCACCCCAAAGAAGGCCAACGTCGCTAACCCTTGATTTCCTGTTTAAATGGTGAAAGATTATGTAAGATTTAGTTATAGTAATCATTTTATATGTATATTATGTTGAGAAGGCAAAGTGTATACATACCTAGCAAAATGATTGCGTTTGTCCATCCATTATTCTCCATGATGGTCTTCTTCTTAGACTCAGAATCGTTGGACTTAAGAGAGACCACACTTTGATCATCTTGAACCTCTACCACCTCAGCAACTTCCAAATCTTCATCTCTCTCCCGCTCCTATTAAATATAATTAATGTTTCCCATTCAAATTAAACATGTCTTACACCCAAAAAAAAATAAAAAATAAAATAAATAAACATGTCTATTTATATCCCAAAACATGTAGCTATTGTCTATTGATATTCCTAAGAGTCTGAGTTTACATACATTTAGCGGATCAACGTAGCCGTTGTTTCTCGGATCCATAGCGGCCATTTAAGGTATCTGTACGAAATTAACAAGTGATTATGATAATCATGATATAGTAAGCGTACGATATTAATATAATCACATATACGATGCAAAGGATCCTGTTATTTATGTTTAGGCGTTTCAAGCTTCCAAAACCACTCAAGATAAAGTAAAACTAAAAATTGGTGTATAAAAATTATAACCTTTTACGTAGAATCTCCGGCGAAGGAGACGAAGTTGTGCTGAGAATTAGAATTGGCCGAGGAACCACTTTCGATGTAGGAGAATCAAAAACACCTTTTGTCATTTATGGTTGAAGGATTAGTGTTTGTAAATTTCTAGGCGTTTGATCAACCTGGAAGGAAGGTTTTTACTCTGATAAACAGAGAGAGCCAAAGTAAATCTAACAAGTAACAAAAATAATGGTAAGCCAAGAAGAGTAAATAAGCTTTGTTTTCTTTCTCACTTATATAGATTTACATGTTTATTAAAAAAAAGGATATTTTATTTGTTTTCGTTTGGGTTGTTACGGAGGATTCCGAAATTATTAAAGTTTGTTTTTAAGATGATCAAAAAAAAATCTCCTTTATAAAAGGTAGTTACCGATAATATATGATCAGTGAGCTAATCTAGTCGTTTACCGATTCTAAACTAAGGTTGACCAAATGTTTTTAGGAAAAAAATAACCAAATGTTTTTCATCATTAATGGAATATATATTGATCACAAGTTTACTCCTAAAGGAAAGGAGTTTTGTTAGCTTAATGAAGATTGACCCAAGTTATTGGCAGAAAAAGGAGGATTTGATTGAGTCAAGGTCCAATTCATTCTTCAGAACAAGAAGCAAACTTTTTCTAATACAATCATGTGTCTTACCATGGCTTTGAAATTGTTATACAATGTCAACAAAAAAAATTCATTAGTATAGTATTTGATTACAACAATAAAATATTCGAAACAAACAGAAATAGTTGAACAAAATCCTACAAAAGAAAAAGGATGAGTACATACATGTTGGTTCGCCGAAGAAAGATTTTCTTTGGGATCAGATAACATCATCGGAGAACCATTTTTTTGTAATCAAATAATATACTAAGCAAAGTTGGAAATATTTTTTCCCATTGATTAAATATCTTGGGACATTTAATCCATTTGCGGTGGAAGCCTCAATGGGGTCATTCTTTATCTTGACTACAAAGAAAGATTCATGGCCATCAAAGCAGCTTCCAAGGTTAAGGTTAAGTATTTCAGTCATGGAAAGTCTTCTCTCTTCACATATAAGACTTGAATCTTATGTCTCTAGAGCTGCAAATTAACATCAGGGAGGTAAAAGGAGAGAGCAATAGTTGGATTATGTCATTTGTGCTCACTATTCAATTAGAATTTCAACACTCATTTGTTTAAGGAGAATATGCAGTTATCAGCTTCCTCAAAGTAATTCATAGTCATCAAGAACATGCTCTTCAATCACAATCCCACTTCTCTCCTTCCGCTCACCGCGATAGTACGACGGAGAATCAACGCTAGGCACTTCCGAAAGAAGCATCTGACCCATCGGAGAGAAACCTAGCCTAGGAACTCTACCTAAGGACACAGTGATCACAGAGTTCTCAGTGATCCTAGCAGAGATCTTAAACGTAAAGCTACTCGAAGCTGGACCAGGCGAATTTACCCTAAAGACAAGCGCTCCATCGACATGGCCACAGAAAGGTCCGTTGCTAACGAGAGAGAGAATGTCATGCAGCTTCAATGGCGGACACAACGCATCTATAAGATGCTGCGCGGATTGAGAGAGTTTCTGGTTTCCTTTCGGTGGTACCAGCAAAACTGTCGAATATGTAAGTTTCTGCCCATTTATCCTATTTTGACAATTGATATTCATACAAAACATTAATATCTTTGTTTGGAGACACTAAAAGTGTTGAAGTAAGCTTGAAGAAAGCTTGAGTAACAAGTTAAACCTAATCCTATTGTATTGAGGAGTCCTAATGAGTTTAGGATTAGAGAAAGTGTTTCTCCATTAGGATTAGGATATGTGTGTGGCTATATAAGGAGATACCAAGTTGTGGTATAACTTATGAGCTTAGAGATTGAGAGATTGAGAGCTTAAGTTTTTGAGTGAGTTTTCTTAAGCAATAAAGAAGAGTTTCTTTAATCTTTGAGTTCATTACTTGAGTTTCAATTCTACAATTGGTATCAGAGCTTGAGTCGTGAAGATCATAAGAAGCGACATGGCTGGAGACGATCTCGCGATCGTTGAAGCAAAACCGATAGAAGGAGGAAGCCTTACATCGATCCAATGCCCTATGCTCACTTCCACAAACTATACCGTATGGGCTATGAGAATGAGAGTAGCGCTGGCAGTCCATGAAGTCTGGGATGTCATTGAAGATGAAGATGAGGCAGAGTCGAGCAACAAGAAGAAGAACAACATGGCTCTAGCGTTACTTTTCCAATCAATACCAGAAGCGCTTGTCTTACAAGTCGGTGAACTAAAATCAGCTAAAAAAGTATGGGAAGCGATTAAGGGAAGGAACATGGGAGCAGATAGGGTTAAGGAAGCAAGATTACAAACGCTGATGTCAGAATTCGAGCGCATAAGAATGAAGGAAACTGACACGATTGACGACTTTGGTGGAAAACTAGCTGAGATCGCATCGAAAGCATCTGCTTTAGGAGAAAGCATCGAAGAGCCAAAGTTAGTCAAGAAGTTCCTGAAGAGCCTCCCTAGAGCGAAGTTTATACATATTGTAGCATCTCTTGAACAGCTGCTAGATCTAAACAAAACAAGCTTTCAAGACATCATGGGACGCTTGAAAGCGTTTGAAGAGCGAGTCCGTGATGAAGATGAGGTTCAAGATGATCAAAGCAAATTGATGTATATGGAGGGTCAAGGGAATCAATCGAGTCAAAAATATAACTACAGCGAGAGTAATAGAGGCAGAGGTCGTGGAGGACGGTTCGGAAGAGGAAGAGGTCGCGGTGGTCGTGGCGGTCGCTCAAACGGAGACAAAGAGAGGGACACGTCAAACGTTGAGTGTTTTAGGTGTGACAAGCTCGGACACTATGCGATTGATTGTCCAGACAGATTGCTAAAACTCCAAGAAGCTGAAGAAGATACTAGTGATACAAAGGAGGCTGATAAGCTTATGATGCACGAGGTGGTATACTTAAACGAGAAAAACTGTATACCAAGCAAGTTTGAAGCCAACACTGGAGAGGAGAATATATGGTATCTTGACAATGGGGCTAGCAATCATATGACTGGAGATCGACGATACTTTTCAAGTATGGACAACTCTGTTACCGGGAAAGTACGGTTTGGAGATGATTCCAGAATAGACATCAAGGGAAAGGGAACAATCTCATTCTTTGACATGAATGGAGAACCAAGAATGATGACAATGTCTACTTCATCCCTGACTTGAAAAGTAACATCATTAGCCTTGGTCAAGCTACAGAATCAGGGTGCGATATAAGAATGCAAGGAGAGTGTTTGACGATGCACGATCGTGATGGAAAGCTACTTGCAAAGGCAAACAGAGCAAAGAATCGGCTATACAAAGTCCACATGAGAATAAGAGAGACAGCACAACTGTACCTAACAGAAACAAGCGAGTCTAGTAGATGGCATGCGAGGTTGGGCCATCTAAACTTTGAGAACCTGAAGACGATGATAGACAAAGGAGTTGTACGAGGAATCCCAAGAGTGAATATCGAAAAGAAGATATGTGGAGCATGTCTACTTGGGAAGCAGACAAGGCAAGTGTTTCCACAAGCTTCTTCCTTTAGAGCAAGCAAGAAGCTTGAACTAGTTCATGGAGATCTCTGCGGGCCAATAACTCCAAGTACAGCTGCTGGAAACCGATACATATTCGTTCTCATAGACGACTACTCCAGGTACATGTGGACAGTTCTGATGCAAGAGAAGAGTGAAGCTTTTACAAAGTTTAAAAACTTCAAGAACTTGGTGGAGCAAGAAGCAGGAACAAGGATTCAGACCTTCAGGACAGATAGAGGTGGAGAGTTCTTATCACATGAGTTTACTCGGTTCTGTGAAACTTCAGGTATAAAGAGGCATCTTACCGCTCCTTATACTCCTCAACAAAACGGCGTTGTTGAAAGGCGAAATAGGACTCTGATGGAGATGACAAGGAGTATAAGGAGCGGTAAGATGCCTCTTTATACCTGAAGTTTCACAGAACCGAGTAAACTCATGTGATAAGAACTCTCCACCTCTATCTGTCTTGAAGGTCTGAATCCTTGTTCCTGCTTCATAGAAGTTATTTGGCTCATTGTTCAAGCACAAAAGTAACCTTTCTCCTTCTTCGATCGCAAGTAGCACATAATCTTCAAGATACTTCGGTGTAAACTTTTCTCTTGTCGATCTTCTCAGTTCTACTTCAGGACTCTCCTGTGTCTCTGTATCCTCTGTATCCTTTGTCTCTTCCTCATGCGTCTCTGCGATATTGTAGCTAGGTCTATTCTCAACTTGTTCGTCATTAGAACCTCCAATCATCTTAGTTTCACCATTGAATCTCTCGATAATGAAGCACATGCATGTACCAAACTATCTCTGGGGAGAAGCAGTACGACATTCAACCTATCTCTTAAACCGAATAGCCACGAGGACACTTAAAGATGTTACTCCATATGAGATGTTCAGAGGAAAGAAGCCAATTCTCGATCACATACGAATTTTCGGGTGTATTGGTTATGCAAAGGTGGAGAAGCCTCAACTCAAGAAGCTAGACGACAGATCGCGTGTCCTTGTGCATTTAGGAACCGAACCAGGGTCCAAAGCTTACCGACTACTTGAGCCACAAGGAAGAAAGATAATAGTAAGTCGAGATGTGGTGTTTGATGAATCAAAAGGATGGAACTGGAGTCATAGTAACTCGGCTCAGGGAGATAACAAAGAGTTTAAAGTGATATTTGGTGAGTTTGGAAATCGCGGGATTCAAGAGATATGGGAGAATGATGGAATCGAGAGATTCAATGGTGAAACTAAGATGATTGGAGGTTCTAATGACGAACAAGTTGAGAATAGCCCTAGCTACAATATCGCAGAGACGCATGAGGAAGAGACAGAGGATACAGAGGATACAGAGACACAGAGAGTCCTGAAGTAGAACTGAGAAGATCGACAAGAGAAAAGTTTACACCGAAGTATCTTGAAGATTATGTGCTACTTGCGATCGAAGAAGGAGAAAGGTTACTTTTGTGCTTGAACAATGAGCCAAATAACTTCTATGAAGCAAGAGAATCTGGAGAATGGATGCTCGCGTGTGAAGATGAGATCCGTTCGATCGAGAAAAACAATACGTGGACTCTTATGGAGTTACCACATGGTGCTAAGGCAATTGGATTGAAGTGGGTGTTCAAGCTCAAGAGGAACTCTGATGGAAGCATTAACAAACACAAAGCTAGGCTTGTTGCCAAGGGATATGTTCAACGTTATGGAATAGACTTTGAGGAAGTGTTTGCACCAGTAGCTCGGCTCGAAACAATACGGTTTCTAATTGGTCTTGCTGCATCAAGAGGATGGGAGATACATCATCTTGATGTCAAGACAGCTTTTCTCCATGGAGAGTTAAAAGAAATCGTCTATGTCTCGCAGCCAGAGGGTTTTGAAGTAAAAGGGAGTGAGAACAAAGTCTATAAGCTCCATAAGGCACTATACGGTCTGAGGCAGGCACCAAGGGCGTGGAACAATAAGTTGAATCAGATTCTCATGGAACTTAAGTTTGTTAAGTGCTCAAAGGAACCATCGGTTTATCGCAAGGCTATTGGTGATAGTCTCCTCCTTATCGCCGTGTATGTTGATGACTTGTTCGTTACAGGAACTAACAGAAGGATCATTGATGAGTTCAAAGACGAGATGGCCACCAAGTTTGACATGAGTGACCTCGGGAAGTTAACATACTACCTCGGAATGGAGGTGAAACAACACGATGGTGGAATAATGCTTAACCAGAAGCGTTATGCGTTGAAGATCTTAGAGGAAGCTGGAATGGAGAACAGTAATCCTGTTCACACACCAATGGAGTCTGGACTGAAGTTGTCCAAGGCCGGAGACGAGACAGATATTGACGCCACCCTGTTCAGAAAGAATGTTGGCTGCCTACGATATTTACTTCACACAAGACGGACTTGTGT